TGTTTACAACAACACCCTCCTTTATTGTTTTAATTAAGAAAATATCGTACTTGGTCTGTTTCTGTTATTTTGTTAAATTTAATGTAATTCTGCGTTTATATGTCTACCTTTTTTGCTCTTTGTACATGTGTGTCAATAATGAATGGTTCTCTAATAAAATAACGATCACTAGTCAATAATTTTTAAAATGGTTTTGCGAAATTTTTCAGGGTGGCCGGTTGTTTTTGCCGGTAGTGTAGATCTAGTTATCTCTTTCAATCCTGACCTAATTGCTAACTAAAATTTTTTAAGCCAGTCGGTAAATCTGGCCACGTGATAATTTTGGAGAATTTTCAAACCAATATCCAGACTTCAAACAAAGTAATAATTACCACAAAGTCAGTTACTAGTTATCAAATGTTGCAAAATCTGCTTGGTGCATTAATATTAGATATTGATATCTTTCCAAACATCTTTACTGAGGTAAACAGTTGACTATCGAACCGTATTCAAATCCTTCCATGGTTTATGTAGTGTAGTGCAAGCGCGGCTTTACTAACCACGAGAGGGTAAAGCCAGCATTAGGATAGGAATAGGGAGTTAGGTTAGAAGTTAGACGTTAAGAGGATTTGTACCCCTTTTGTGTAATTGGTTATTAATATTAAATAATTTGTTAAACATTAAGAAATTTCCTGAAGAGTGAATATACAAGAATGGAGACGAGTAAAATGGGAGAAATTAGAAAAACTCGGCAGAAGACGGGTAAATCCAAAACTGGACAACTGGACATTGTACCATAAACAGCTGGAGGAATTCTTTAACATAAATAGAATAGTGACACCCCAGCGACAGAGGGTCAAACAGAGTCGAAGAAAAGAATGCCAGCTTTACTGAGCTTGATAGGAAAGGAAACTTACAAAACCCTACTAGATCTCTACACACGGGCGTTACCTAAGGACAAAACCTATGAAGAATTGTGTACCCTACTGAAGAAACAATTTTTACCCAGCACATGTATTTTCAGAGAAAGAATCGAATTCTACGAAGCACAACAACAAGACAATGAAACCGTAAAAGAATGGTACGCTAGAATACACAACCTAGCGAGTAACTGCGAGTTTGGAAACGAGCTCACGTTCGTGCTAAAGGTCAAATTCATCTGTGCTATGAAAAGGAGTGTCATCCGAGACAGATTGTGCGAAGAATCCCCAACTACGACATTACAGAAACTAGTGAAGATTGCCATACACAAAAAAGGACACACAACAGGCAGGAAAATTGCAAACACGTAGCAATAATGAGGCAAAAACGTCTAAAGACATAATCCAGACATTCCAGAGAGGGAAGTGGAACTGCAGACGATGGGCAGGAACTGGTTAACAGGTGTGTAAATATAGAAATTACACATGCAACATTTGTAAAAAGGTGGAACATTTAGCAAAGGCATGTTTCGCTAAAAATAAACAAAATTCGGTAGAAACACAACATACATTCAGTTTAAAGTTGAAAGACCAATTCCGACCTGTTTTCCTAAAACCCCGCACCGTTCTCCTTGCGTACAAAGAAAAAGTCGAGACAGAATTGAATCGTCTTGAAAAACAAGGTGTAATTGAGTCGTTAGAATCCAGTGAGTGGGCTACGCCATTGGTACCAGTAATGAAGAAGGACGGAAGCCTTAGATTATGCGGCGATTACCGAATCACAGCAAATAAATGGTTTGAAGAAACTCTTTGCCAACAGTCGAGGAAATGTTTTGAAAGTTAAACGGAGGCGAATTATTTTCTAGAATTGACCTCAGCAACGCGTACAGTCAATTGGAGGTAGACGAGGAAACATCAAAAATACTCAATTGGAACACACACAAGGGCTTATACCTGGTGAAGGTAATCCCGTTTGGCATAACGCCCGCCAGAGCAGTTTTCCAAAAAACCCTAGAACAGGGTTCTTTGGAAAACAGGGCATAGATAGAGCAGCAAACTTTATGGATCATATCAGTGACTAAAGGATGCAGGATTAAAAGTTAAATTGTCGAAATGTGCTTTTTTGAGGAAGAATCAACATTTTTAGGTCTAAGAGTTACTGATAAGTATTAACAAAACGAGCACGTGTTGATTTGTGTTTATTAAACGGCTTACAAGTTTATGTCTTACCTATTCGACTGTCTGATTCAAAGAGAACGAGTCCTTCCAAGAAACATCAGTACCTACGCTATGCGCAGTCGCATTCCATAACATCTTACTATTGACCTACTTCCTACTTAACCTACTGTACACTTAATCTACGCCTTAATTAATACATTACATATCCCCCCATTTAAGATTAGTAGGTACATTTAAAAAAAAACCCGAATGCGCCTAATATTAATTCCTAATCTCTGTAACGTGCTGGGATGTTACAAGAACGCTTTGGTCTATCGCGTACCGGAATGACTGGAATAGGATTGGGTTGCGGTTCGAGAGATGGTGTTTGTTCTGGTGGTGGCGGTGTGGCTGACGGCATTGTTGGTTCCCCAGGCATCTTCCTTTGTGGTACTTCTTGGTTTGTATTCGCTGGTTGTACTGTCTCTGACTTGCTGTCCTCAGTGCTTGGTGCTTCAATTCTTTTTCTCATTTGGTCAACGTGTCTCCTCCATTTTTGTCCATCTGGTAACTCGCACGTGTAGTTTCGTGGTCCCAGTATGTCGATGACCTTTGCTTCCTGCCAAGTTTTGGTATTAGGCTTCCGATAATCCCGAATCCAAACTATACTTCCCTTCTCAAATGTTGGAGAATCTCGACCTTTATGGTTACATTGCCTTTCCGTGTCTCGGTTTGTGTCAGGTCTCATTAAGTTGAGCGTCGTGTGGAGATGTCTACCCAGCATCAATTTCGCTGGCGTTTCATTCGTTTGACAGTGCGTGGAATTTCTATACCAGAATAAATACCTGCTGACAAGAGTGTCTGTCGAAACGTGTCGGTTTCTTTGGTCTAAAAGCGCTGCCTTGAAGCCTTTCTTAAAACTCTTTACTGCATTTTCTGCTGCTCCATTTGTCTCTGGTTTGTACGGCGGTCCGGTAACGTGCCTTATTCCATTTCTTTTTAAGAAAATTGAAAATTCCTCTGATGTGAGCTGTGTGCCGTTGTCTGACACCAAAGTCTCTGGAATTCCCCATCTTGCACATGTTTCCCTGATTTTGCCAATTGTTGCAGCGGACGTGATTGAGTTCATTTTAAAAATTTCAGGCCATTTACTATAAGCATCCAACATAATGAGGTAGTGGCTGTTATTAATCGGTCCAAGGAAATCGATGTGCACTCTTTGCCACGGACGCGTTGGTCTATTCCACGGAATTGGGATCGCTTTCTGAGGTTCCCTTGCGACTTTATTGCATGGAATGCAGCTACGAGCTATGTTCTCAATGTCCTTGTCCAAATTCGGCCACCAAAAATAGGCTCTGGCTATTGATTTCATTTTGACAATACCCAGGTGACTGCTGTGTAGTTCCTCTAACAGGTGGTGCTGCAGCTTTCTGGGCACAATTACTCTGTAGCCCCACATCAGACATCCTTGTTCGCAGGTTATCTCGTCTTTCCTCTGGACGAACGGTTTTAGGAAATCGTCTGTTTTTTGCTCTGGCCACCCCTCAGTTACGAACTTTACGATCTTACTCAGCGTGGGATCACGACGTGTGTCTCGCGATACCGCGGTGTGTGTGACTGGCATTCCCTCTGCAATCACTAGGTTGAGGTGTGTTGTCTCCGTAACCTCCTCAGACTCACCTGGTGTTTCTGAGTACAGTGGATGTCTTGACAACATGTCAGCTACACTGTTCTCCTGGCCTTTGACGTATTTGATTTTGTATTGGAATCCGGACGGATAGAGTGCCCACCGTTGGAATCTAGCTGATGCCATTTGTGGTATTCCTTTTTGCTCTCCGAAGAGGTATATTAGTGGCTTGTGATCCGTGTGTATTTCAAAGCTATGCCCTAGAAGATATGTCCTGAGTTTTGATGTCGCCCAGTAAATCGCCAAAGCCTCTTTATCAAGAACCGAATAATTGCCTTCTGCCTTGCTTAGCGTCCTGGAAATGAAGGCTATTGGTTTTAAGTCCCCATTCGTCGTCTTGTGTGATAAGGTGGCTGCAATTCCATAATGTGAGGCGTCCGTTGATAGAATTATCGGTCGTGAAGGGTCGAAGTGCTCTAGTACCCTATCTGACGCTATTTCTTGTTTGATGAGGTTGAATGCTTTTTCGCAACCCTGATCCCAAGCAAATTTCCTGTCGCTTTTTAACAGCTCGTAAAGAGGCCTCATTATTCCCGCAAATTCTGGTACAAACCTGCTGTAGTAATTTACTAAGCCAACAAAACTCTTTACCTGCCGCACATCTCTTGGCCTGGGTGCTTCAAGCATGGCTCTGATCTTGTCCTTGTTGGTTTTTAAACCCTCTCTTGAGATTACATATCCTAAGTATTTTATCTCATTTTTGAAAAATTCGCACTTTGATAATTTCAACACAAAGCCTGCCTCTTTCAGCCTTAGGAACACTTGCCTCAGGTTGTTTTTATGCTCTTGCCTGGTCTTTCCAGTGACTAGTATGTCATCTAAAAAGTTGGTCACCCCTCCGAGTCCGCTTAACGTTTGTTCTAATGTGCGCTGAAATATTGCGCTTGCTGGTACGATCCCGAAGGGGAGCCTATTTACCTTGTATAGACCCTTGTGCGTGCTCCATGCCAGTAATTTTGCTGATTCCTGGTCCACGACTAACTGATTGTATGCGTCGCTTAAGTCAATCTTGGTGAACGATTCACCCCCATTCAACTGCATAAATATTTCCTCTATTCTAGGCAAGGGGTATTTCACCTCCCTGAGATGCCTGTTCACCGTCACTTTGTAATCGCCACAAATTCGGATGCTACCATTTGCCTTTAATACTGGAACAATTGGTGTCCCCCAATCTCCGTGCTCAATGGGAGAAATTACACCTTTCTCTTCCAACCGCTGCAGTTCTGCTTCCACTTTTGATTTATAGAATAAGGGTAGGGCTCTAGGTTTATGATAAATGGGTTGGGTGCTGTCGGATTTTAGTTCTAGTATAATCGTCCTGTGCTTGTAACATCCCAATTGCTCTGAAAATAGATTATTAAATTCATCGGCAAAAATTTTTGTATCGGTGTCTAAGCTATTAATTTCACAATCGTTATTTATTAATGTAAATTTGAATTTACTTAAAAAGTCCCCGCCTAACAAATTGTTGTCCCCTGTCTTATCTACTACATGAAATATAAAATCATTGTGTACCACATTTTTATACCTTAACGTAGCCTCTATGTAGCCCTTATTGGCAACAGTATCTCCCGAGTATGATTTTAATTTAAGTCTACTTTTAAACAATGGGCATGCAGTCTTAAAATACTGGTTATAACACTCCTCTGTTATGACGGATAAGGTTGCTCCACAGTCGATCTGTATTGGCAACCTCACATTGTTTACACTGACCTGCAGCTTCATTGGTTCCTCCACTTGAAAGTCTAAATTAAAAATTTGTGCCTATTCAAAATCTTCTTCCGCTTCTATGGCGTTTTGTGTAGCTCTTGACCTACAGACCTTGGCTAAATGACCCACTTTATGGCAAGAGTTGCATTTGTACGTTGCGTATTTGCACCTCTGGTTCCCTGTATGTGCGGCTCCACATGCTTTACAAGACCACCTCCTTGGATTGTTCCCATTTCTGCGTCCTTCGAGTACTCCTGACGTGTTGTTTGCGCTGCCCGAAAATTCTGGATTCCACCTTTCTTTTCGGACCAGATTAATCTCCTTGTCAGCCTTGATGGTGGTTTCTCTCGCTAGTGCGATTTCCAAGAGATTTTCTAGTGATTTGCTCGGCTTTTCCTCGCACAGTCGGTCTCGAATTGGGCCCTTTCGCATACCGCACACGAATTTGTCTTTGAGGACGTTCCCCAGGTCCGCACCGAAGTCGCAATTCGTTGAGAGATTGTGTATTCGCACGTGCCAATCGTTCACGGTCTCTTCTTCCAACTGCTTCGCGTCGTAGAATTCTAACCTCTCTCTGAAAACGCACGTGGTCGGAGAAAAATGCTTCTTCAAGTGGTTGCAGAGTTCTTCGTACGTCTTGTCTTTAGGGGCTTTTGGTGTGCACAGGTCTCTGAGTATCTTGTAAGTATCTTGGCCAATTAAACTGATCAACGCCGCTACTCGCTTCTTAGATGCTTCCGTGTCCTTGATGTCATTTATTTCGAAGTATTGCTCGAGCTGTTCTTGGTATAAAATCCAGCTGTCCACACGTGGATTGAAATTTTGTATCGAACCAATCATCTTCGTTGTTCTTCTTTTTAATCCTCGTCGCCAGTGATAAGTATTAACAAAACGAGCACGTGTTGATTTGTGTTTATTAAACGGCTTGCAAGTTTATGTCTTACCTATTCGACTGTCTGTCTCAAAGAGAACGAGTCCTTCCAAGAAACATCAGTACCTACGCTATGCGCAGTCGCATTCCATAACATCTTACTATTGACCTACTTCCTACTTAACCTACTGTACACTTAATCTACGCCTTAATTAATACATTACAGTTACCAAAGAACATCTAAAAAAAGACAGCGAAAAAGTCAAGGCGATACTAGATGCCCCAACACCACAAACTATGAGACCAACACGAGAGGGTAAAGCCAGCTTTAGAATACGAATAGAGAGTTAGGTCAGATGTTAGACGTTAAGATGATCAGTACCCCTTTTGTGTAATTGGTTATTAAGAATAAATAATTTGTTAAACATTAAGAGATTTCCTGAAGAGTGAATACTGAATATACAACAGTTTCCACAAACAGATGTACAGCCTCTCTAACCAATGCTGAGTTCCTTGAGGAAGAAATATACACTAGACTCCGAAAGTTCAAGAAAACTACCCGGATTCTTGAGCGCTGCCCTTTTGAAGAATGTACGCTTTCTCTGTTTAAGCCCTGGATTCTGTTCATGCAACAGTCATTTACCAGCGGCGAACTCCACAATGACTGGAAAACAGTAACTGTAAAACCTATTATTTTATAGAATTCTATGATGAAGTTCCTTCTTGAACATCATTCCTGCTGAGGCATCATGAATTTGGGCCGAACCGCTCGGTAGGCACCAATCTTATTTGCTGCTTCAATAACGGCCCTAAATAAATCATCTCTAAATTGCTCAAGATCTATGTACGTCAAATTCTCGAATGCACTAATGCTAATCCAATCCTTGTTAGGGACAAACAAGGCTATTAGGTTTATTTGAACTCCATCCACCATTTGATGATGTGATCTCAAAATGTTTCATGGTAAATGCTATTTAAATTTTATAATATAACATACCATGTACTTGTGGTTTAAACATCAAAATTGCATAACTTTTTATTCTAATAAAAGGGAAAGGTTCCATGAGCGCTCGATGATTCAAATGGTTAGGTGGGTGCTAATAACTCGAAGATCACCGGTTCGATCCCCTCATAGATCACTTTTTTTCTTACATTGTTACTAGTAACTATTATCTAGGTTGCTTTTTATAAAAAACTAGATTAGTTTAATTCAGTGGAGAGGGAAGTTCTACGTAATAATAATTCGACTAATTTTTTACTAAAATCTATTGTGCACAACGATTGGTTTCCTTCGATATTTGCAATGTGTCCTTCTAAGTAGGAAAAGTGGATTTTTAAGTGGTTAGTTAATTTTAAAATAATCGTTACCTGAATGAAAGTTTCATTATTTTTGAAGAGGCGTATAGTTTATTAGGAAGGATGGTTTAATCTATAAAAGACTGCAGAAATAATGACAACCAATGACCAAAGTTTTGTATAAGTGAGTAGAGTGCAGAAATAATAACAACCTGTAGCCAAAGTTTTGTATAAGTGAGTTTTTATGTTTGTAACTAGCATTATTTTAAAATTATAAATAATAAAAAATGACGAAAACTTTAATATAGAATAAAAACGCAGTTGCAACAACAAAATTGGAAATACCACAAAATCAAAAAGCCAACCGAATAAATGGGAAAATAATAATTTTTAAAAACAGTTAGTGTTCTGTTTATTCCGAACAATCCTACAATTGAGTTGTAGTACCGAGAGAGATTTTTTAAAGTTTGTTTTTGATCGTTGCATTTACAACTTAAATTTTCAAATTGACGGTAATCTGACAAGATGAAAATTAATCAAGAATTAGCACCGGGATTGTTCACTTACCACTTCCTAAAAACATAACCAATGCAGTTCTTGTTGTTTTAGGTTTTCAAATTCATAAATTGTAATTTTTAAAAATAAATTTCCGAAATTATTTTTAATTAAGACATATAACAAAACGTCATTTTCTTTAAACTGTATCCTATCCCTAGCTAAAAACAAAGGAATGGCTTATTATTTTTTGTATTAATTTTTTGTTATTTCCTTTTTATACCTTCATTAGTAAAAACAATCCGATGTTTCTATCAGAAATCTATTCATGATCTGTCGTGTGGATACTTGTGATTTCTTTGACCGATTTTACATACTTGTAGATATCTGCAACATCATTTATATTTATGACAGACGTAAGATCGAATATTCAGTCCCAAGGCTGCCAAGGAGCTTCAACTTCGTGCTTCGCTGGACGAAATATGCCAGTAACTTTTTCGGAGATGTAAACATGCTTTTCAGCGCAGTGCTCCTTGAACGTGAAATATGTGGTCTTGCTCAAAGATTAAATTACGTTTCATCTTATACAATTTTTCAATGTGACTACTTTCGTTAAAATATCCACTCAGTGCGGGCAATATTTAAAAGAATATGTTATAAAAAACAATGTTAGATAGAACGGAAATTTGAAAATAACTATTCTACTTTGATTTTTGGAATTTTTGTATCTATACCTCTCGGCCTATGTGCCGGCTGGCTGCGGTCAGCCCCCATAAAATTAGAATTAGACCTCTTTCGTTGATTAATGCATTGATCCTGTAACAAATACTACACATTACAGGCGTTGCAAATTCGATTATATGCCTCGAGTAATTTGAAGACCTGGGCAAGTTTCCGTTGTACAAAGTTTACCCTGTATTTGATAAGCTTCACTTACAACCTTTATAAGTAGCTTAATTTGCTATTCAAGTAAGATTTTAACAGACTAATAGACTAGTGTGTAGTACACATACCAAACACAGTTGAAATGATGAGAGTAATTTTACATAACATTACATTACTAAGATACTGAAAATACACACCGCAGGCATTCGCAAGATTCTTACTAAACTTTAGAGTTTTATAAATCAAGGTTCTGTCGCCGAACACTCTACAGGTAGTTGGATCTGGAGATTTATGTACCTTGAAGGCTGAATTTCTTGAATTAAATGATATATTAAGCGATAGAACTCATACCGCATTCACAATGCTGTATGAAATGAATATGAATTCTAAGTGAATTAAACTCTTCAAATAAAAATTTGATATCCTGAAGTGTGAAGAAAATTAAGTACATATGTGGTAAATGATTTATTCATATTTATTATTAATATTATGAAATACAGAATTTAAGGAAAATGAAAATTTTCCAGTTGCAGTAATGTACGCCGTTATCGCGGTAATTAATTAATGGTGCTTTGTTGTTAAGATAAGTCAAACCGATAATGACTTACCGTTTAAGTACTTAAAATTTAAAGTGCACATAATAACAACTTATCGATTATAGATTTCGACATGTTTGATGAAAATGTTTTCTTGAGATTTGTATTTGCATATAACTGAATTTTAAATTTTGGTTGCAAAGAAAATAAAAAGAGGCAGTTAAAGTTAAACCTAATAAGTGCGATTCAAAGCACTGAAGTAAGCAATTATTATTTCAGTACTTAGCCAATATAATCAAGTTTAAAATTCACGTTTAAACAAATAAAAATTAAGTTTAAACTTTAATAATCCGTATCAACATTTTTGGTTATGGATGAAAGTTGAGAATATATGTGCTTGTTTTAGTAATTTTTACAAAACTGCCATGCCATTTCATTCGCATTGTATTGACAATGGTATGGGGGCAATCTAAGAATTTCATAACCAGTCCATGTCAACGTCTCATCTACCATATAAACTTTTGTGCAGCCATTCTTGCATTTGACTTTTTTTCCTAGAAAATGTTGGTAGCTTGTCCAACTGCATTGAATAATATGGTGCGTTGTCCATAACCACCACACATTTTTTGTTCAACTCGGCCAAAGCAGAAATAAGTTGATTAACCACCCAATTGTGACAAAGTGTCCCGTCCATTCGTTCACATAAAATTTGGCGACCGTTTACCTCCCTACGTTTGTAACCCATCGACTTTGGAATTCTGTAAATTCCAAATTATTTCGCGAATAAGCCAAAAGTGTGTTTGTTGTAAAGTATTAATTTTTTCGTTGTATAATTTGAAAAAGTGAGTTTTCGTTTGAAAGATAATGAATTTTTCAAATTTTCGTCTTTAGTGACGTTTTTTAATTAAGAAATATTTAAAAAGTTTAAAAATCACAGAAAATATGTTCACTATTCTCATCATTAACTCTTCACGCCTGAGTTGGGTATCAGCTATTTTCGTTTACAGATAGCACCTTTTCATCGAAATTTTTATTTGTAACAAAATAATTTTCGGCATTTTAAATTTTAATGACAAAAGTTAGAAATGATGCAACTTGATATTATATGATCTCTAATTAAAAATAAATGTAGCAAATCAAGTGACGTCTGTCTCACGCACTGGCAGTTTTTGTCAATGAATCAGTTTATCCAACGTGAAGAAAAAATTTCATGGCTCACTTTTGTCTAAAAACATTCTGAACCTTTATATAGTATATTAGCTGACCCCGTGAACTTCGTTTCACCTACAATTTAATTTTGAATCTGCAAAACCGAATGCTTTGAAATCTTGCAGATGTTTTAAACATATGATAAGCATAATAAACTTTTATTCAAAATATATTTACTTATCCCCTCCAAAAAATTGATGACGTCAGCCCAAAATTTTGCCAAATGAATCCTCTCTAAAATGTCCAAGATAGGATGAGACTATACTTGTGATTTATCATTCCATTCATAATTTTTGGTTTTGCTTATAGGGGGTGTCTCAAAGAAATTAATCACTGAATCAATTTATTTTATTGATTGAATCAAGAATTGCAAAACTGAATTTTTAAATATTGCAGACGTTTTGAAGTTACTGTTTGACATGGTAGGTTTTTAATCAAAATATATCTGTTTATCAAGCCCAAAAACTTGATGACGTCATCTCAAGATTTTGCCGAACAAATCCTATCTAAAATGTGCAAAACATCATCAGTATATTTTCGTACTTTATCATTGCATTCATATTTTTTAGATTTGTTTTTACAGTGACTCCAAAAAATGTATGGATCATTCAATTTATTTTAGAGAATAACTCAAGAGTTGAAGAAATGACTTCTTTGAGATCTTGCAGACGTTTTAAAGTTATTGTAAGCATGGTAAATTGTTAAGAATATTTACTTATTCCCCCCAAAAAATTGATGGAACGGCCCACTCGATTTTCGCAGATAATTTTGGGAATACAATACAGTTATTTTTAGTATTACACCGCACCAATCCAAGGTGGTATACGTGTTGATCGTAAATGTTGATTAGGTCATCACAAAATTGTATGAAGAAAAGACTCAACTCGAAAATGCTGAATATGTTTCATTATACATTTGGTGCGAAGGAAGTTCTGTCGAAACAACGTTCGATCAAATTTTTGACAATGGTTGATATAAATAAAACTCAGTAGATGCTCATACTCGAAATACGAAGTATCTACTCGAATATCAAATCAAAATATTTCTAGTTTTTCTAGATGATGCTAATACTTCAGTAGGTAACAGTTGATGCTCAAGTAGTATCTCGATACAACAAAAACTGAAAACAGTGACAGTGTTCAACCATCAAGGCAAAAATCGAGTCACCAAAATATAAGTTAGTATGGGGTAGATACCTTGAGTTGGGAATCTCTATGGTCAGTGTTAGAAAGAAGGCACTGCACAATTTATGCATAAATAAAAGCTAATTATCTTACGACTTCAGTTTTAATTTATCGGATTCCGTGATTCCTTCACTCGAGAATGTTTAAATTTTGGGAAAATTTTCGAAACGATTGAAGTCGGTTGATCAAAGCTATACATTTGCATGATATAAAATAATAAATTTTAAACATAATTAATATCACTTATAATGTTTAAATATGATAAGCATAAATATATATCATAATTAAACCGAAACTCGTTGTCCTAAAAGCCCGAAATTATTAAAAACAAATCAATTTGTTTAAACATTGTTAAATTATCCCCGAAAATGTGCATTTTCCCGGCCAAAATATGAAAAATAATTTTTGCAGTCTCATGGTGACGTACGATGACGTCAATGTCACGTGAGCTACCTGTATAAAGGTCACGTTTTACGGTCCTTTGTGTTCAGTATTAATTTCTGTTTGATGGCGGCAAGATCGTCGCGTCATTTTGTCGTAAAAGTGGAGCGTTTTAGCGAATTTCAATTTTATTATTAATACATATTAAGGAAAATTTGTTGTGTTAGTGCTGTGAACACGGACGAAAATGAATATTTTTCCGAAAAAGACCAAAAACAGGGTAAGTACGACTT